CGCTCCATCACGTTGAACTGGAATAGTGCATAAGAACGAAGTTTGGTCTTTCCATGTTCTAGCTAATGGCTTGCCATCATCATCATTCAGTGGTCTAGTTAATGAGTCCTCGTATTCTTCTGTGCATTCATTCACTCCATCTAAATCAGAAGCTTGAAGCATACGTGTAAAGAATATGTCACCCACTGTGGTCATCGCTTGATCGGGGAAGTTTCTGGAATCTATAGTGACCTGAAGACCTCGAAGCATTGGATTTTCTAAAACTGTTCTTTGCATTGCATTCTTCGGAAATGCTAACACAACATCTGAAACATTATGAAGAGCGTATGAGAAATCTGAGCTGATACCTTCAGGAGTGATGCAACCTCCATTTAGTGAACGAACATCAACATGTTGAGCTGGAATCATGAATGGATCTTCCTTACTAAATAAACGTGGTATTGCTTTAACTGATTCTTCAGTTAAACCGTATCCTGGTGTAATGCATTTATCCTCTAAAACTTCCATCTTTGTGCATGAAATAATAACGTCTTCAACTGTTGCGTCAGCAGATGTAGCGGCTAAGCTTGTAATTAATTTGGTAGGAAGTCCGATTTGTTGGAATTTGCGATCATATTTATAAACATGATTCATAATCTTTTCATAATTTTCATCAGTTATCTTTTCATAAACATAATTTTGTAAATCAGCAACTCTTAACGGGTCAACCTGACAAAATACTAAAGTATCCCTGAAAACATAATATTTAAGAATGATTTCACCAAATGATTTAGGATAATCATCGAACGCCTGAAATACTAACAAATCATTTACCGGAATAATCATATCAAAAGTGATATCAACTTCATCATTTGCTTTCTTGAAAACTTCTGAAGGGTCAATATATTTACCACATACTGAGTTATCATATTTTTGAACATTATTATATAACGAATGAACAAACTTTTTAACTTTCCTTTCTGATTTTGGTTTATATGTTGCAAATGCGAAAGATTCACGGGCGCATTCCATTTGAAGATAACCGGCATCACCTCTTTCAGTTTCTACTTCTAATTGTTTAAAGCTTTGATTTGATGATTTGTAACCAACGAATAAACGCATGCATTTAAAAGCGGCATCACATGTGAAAGCTTTATTTGAAACTAGAGTTGCTCTAACTTTGCGTTTAATATATGTGTCACCAAATTGGTTCACATCATGAGCCGGATTTGTAATTCTTAAATGAGTTTGTTTATCATCAAAATATGGAGCATCAGAGTCATAGCATGAACTTTCAAGTTCTCTATAATATCTTCTTCCATCATTCTTTGCGAATATTTCATTTATCTTTTCGAATGAATGAAACACATTTCCATTAATCGGTTTGGTGTTTGGCACTAAATAGTTAGTCGTCATTTATTAATAAATAAAAAATCAAAATTAAAAGATGAAAATGAATTTTTAATTTTAATGAAATAATCAACTATGGCTGCAGGATTCTTTAAGAAACTGTGGGATAAAGTAAAAAGAGGAGCGCATAAAGTTTGGGAAACAATGAAGAAAGGAGCAAATTGGATATTTAAGAATAAAGAAGCAATTAGTGACGTTGCTGAATCAATAACACCAAAAGCTGCCCCAATAAGAGAAATTTTAAATAAAGGAGAAAAAGTTTATCAAAGACTACAACCGATACTAAGATAAAAATAATATTTATTTATTTTTCCACTATCTACCCCCTATTTTATTAAGTATTCCTTCAGCAATTCCACCAACTGCGTTACCTGCTTGTGCTCCCATCGCCGGATTACCTGCTTTTGTACCTAATACTCCACCTATGATAGTTCCTGCCGTTTTCGCTACTGGTGCCAAAAAGTTTGCAACAGGTTTAATAATCTTTTGATGAACCCAACCTGCAGCTTTCTTAATTCCTTCCCATAATTTTTTAAAGAATCCTGCCGCCATTTCTGATTTAATATTAATTAAAAAATATATTTCATCACTTATATTTTAATTTTTATTTTATAATAAATGAAACCGATTTTAAAAATAAATGAAACAAAGGAGGAAGAAATAAATGAAAGTGAAAATGTTCAACAAAAAATAAACGTTGTTAAACCCATTACTGAAATAAAAATTTTTTATTTTATAATAAATGAAACCGATTTTAAAAATAAATGAAACAAAGGAGGAAGAAATAAATGAAAGTGAAAATGTTCAACAAAAAATAAACGTTGTTAAACCAAAAAAAAAAAAAAAAAAAAAAAAAAAAAAAAAAAAAGGTAGTGGGGCTTCCAGGCACTTCGTGCCTTCTAGCCCTGAAGATGTTTAGTATAAATGAAGTTCTTATATACGGGTCTTCCAGGAGCTTTTCACAAATTATATATGTTTTCATGTTTTGTCAAGACTTCTTCGTAAAATCAGACAAAAATAATGTTTAGGGTAGAAGGTTAGATATAACCTCTTTTCTAACCTCTTTTCTACCCTCTTGAATTTTCAAGACTTCTTCGTACATGTTTTGTCACTTTTCTGTCACTTTTCAGGAAAAAACATTTTTATTATTATATATAAATGAATTTTACAAAACCACCGTTACCCTTCTTTGGAAATAAGAGTAAATGTAAAGATATTATATTGAGAGAACTTAAGAAACTACCGAATGGTCTAACATTTGTAGATTTGTTCGGTGGAAGTTTCTATATATCCCATTTATGTCATACAATATTCCCAGACTCAAAGATTATATGCAATGACTTCGACAACTATATGGACCGTCTCAAACATATTCCAGACACAAACAATATATTGAAAGAGTTAAAAGAAAAGATACCTATAGGTAAGATGGAACGTATACCATTAGATAAGAAAAATATTGTGAGAGAGGTTTTGAAAAAAGCAGAATATATAGACTGGGATAGTATATCTGCTAGACTATTATATAGTGGTGCTATAAGAGTTCATGACATTGAAACACTTATGTCAAAAGTTTTATATCTTAACTATACAAATGTTTTCAAAGAGGACATAGAAAAATATATTGAGGGTATAGAGTTTGTGAGATGTCATTGGACAGATTTGTATGAAAAATATAAAGACAAGGAAAATGTTTTCTTTATAGTGGACCCGCCGTTCTATAACACATGGGATTTTCAATACCAAGTAGACTGGACTTTGAGAGACTCTTTAGAAACTTTAGACGTTTTACATAACCATCCATGCTTTTACTTTACATCCGATAAAAGTGGTTTGGAAAGTGTCATGAGATGGTTAGAGGACATACATGACTATGAGTTTAGATACGATAAGATAGAATATGAGAGAGGTCCTATAAACTGGAGAAAGTGTCATAACAAAGAAATTTTATTGGTAAGTAAATGTGGTTTGAAATCGGATTGTTAGTTTTAGGTTTTTTCCATTGTGTCATTTACTTATTTGACGTGGCAGAAAGATATAGAGAATATGAAGATGAACCACTGCCTGCAAATGTTCAGCATATGTACTCGTAAGAGATATTTTTATCTAATATTAAATGGACGCACAGAACTTAGCGAATGCACAGCAACCTGGACAACCAAACCCAGAGAATATTCCAAATGAAGTTAGAATACAAACTGCAATGGCAAACTATGGTCAAGTGCCAACAGATGTACAAATGCAAACTGCCATGTCAAATGACGCTGCGTTAGGTTTGCCACCATGGTATGCAAATATGAGATGGAAAGAGTTTTATACAAACCCTGAAGTGGGATATAAACAACTCTATGCAGATGACGCGAACACAGGAGTTGACCCAGAGTATGTTTTCTACCAGAGGAGAAACAGAATGTATGAGCTCCAGTTAAAGAATGCTATGGAACTCAACAGGAAACGTAAGAGACTAGGCGGACATTAGATTTTTACATATAGTAAAATGGGTTTCTTCAGTAAGATAGGAAACTTCTTTCGAAATGTTGGAAGAGGTATATGGAATGGAATAAAAACCGTAGGAAGAGGAATTTGGAACGGAGTCAAAAATATTGGTAAAAGAGTAGGTCAGTTTGTTGGTATTATACCTAAAGACCCTGAACCAGAAGAACAAGCTCCTGTTATACAACAGCCTGAACCTGCACCACAGTCTAGTTGGCAACCAAATCCAACACCTCAACCGTATTAAAAAATTATATTTTTACCGTTCGATAGTAGTTGTATATGAAACTAAGTTCTAAGTAAAACGCGTGGTATAATGGAATTATTCTTTTTCTTCCATCTGTTGTAAACCATACTTGAAAGTCTGAAATACTTCCACTCGGTGGTTCATATAGCTTTGTAGGTTTTTCGTAAAAGTCATTTGCCAAGCATAAGAAAGAGTTTTGGGCGCCAGAAAATGAAGCATGAACAATAATAGCAGCTGGGTCGAAAACATTTTCATATGTTCCATTAGGGTTTTCGACTTCATAAAAGTTCGGGTGTACTGGATATGCTGCAGGCTGATTTAACATCCTCAAAAATCTATACCATGCCAAGTTGTTATATTTTGTAGAAATATAAACGTTTTCTCCAAGGTCTTCTATTCTATCGATTTTAACAGTTGCATTTTTCCTGTCATAAACAATATCGAGATGGTACTCTCCTTCGTCAATGTTGTACTGTTTTGCATATTCGAGATAGATATCGTTTATTTTTTCTTGAAAAGCTTGAAGAGTTGTTTCTAAGTTTACAAGCAAATTCACTTGTAAAAGTTTTCCCTGTTCAAATTTCTCATACGTACGTTTCTCTTTGTTATAGTATCGAATTTCAAAAGCGACCGTAAATGGGAAACCATGTATGGCTTCTGAAATGAATTTCATTCTACGAAAGCCAATAGCTTTTGTGACGGATGGGTCTCTTAGCCATCTTAACGGGTAGTCAAAACGATAGCCTTCATGCTTTACGGTCTCTGTCTCAAACTTTTGACCGACATTCGTAAAAAGTTCATCTAATGGTTTAGTTGTAGCAACTCTAGAATTTTCTTTTTCTATTGAAAGCATATTTTATCTAGAATAAAAATGTCGAAAGAAACAGCGTCTATGAGAGAAATACAACACAACCGACAACTCATTGTACAAGCTCTAAATAAGAACACAACAAACTTTTCAAACTATTCTAAGATATCTGAGTCATTGAAAGAAGGAAACTTAAAACTGACATTAAACCCATTGACAGACGAGTTTCTGTTTCAAGACAGTAAGAACCATACTGTTTGTATAAATCCAACAAAAAGAACTTTAAACGAGAAACCTATAGATGAACTTCTTTTGAAAGCAGATATTGACAACAAAGCTGACAAAGAGTATGTAGATGCAACAAGAGACTATATTCTCGCATGGACAGATAGAACATACCCACAAAAACATCATACACATAACATCTATGACGTAGATGAACTACCAGCAATGTTAGATGACAAAGCAGATAAAACATATGTTGACAATAAAATGTCAAGTGAAGTGACAAGAGCTGACAAAGAATATTCTAAAAAGACTCATACACATACCATTGCAAATATTACAAACTTACAAGAAACCTTAAACAGGAAAAGTGACGTTGGACATACACACGATTTCTTCGCAACTGTTGGTATAGAAAATATTGCAGGAACGGTTGAAGAACCTGATGGAACTGGTGGGGATGTATTAAATTGGAAACCTCCTAACTTTCCACAAGGTTTAACATCGGAGGATGACATAACGACGATGAGATACATTAGATGTAGAGATGTTTATGTCATGGAGGATGAAAATAAAGTTAAATTCACTGCTCAAGATTTATATGACAAGAAAGCAGACAAAAAAGAGCTTCAAACATTAAAGACAGAAATACTTCAAACCATTTACCCGGTTGGTTCTATTTATACGTCAATGAACTCTACCAGACCAGAAGTAGTACTTGGTTTTGGAACTTGGACTCAAATACTCGAAAGTTTTTTGTATTGTGCACACACTCCAAAGAAAACAGGTGGAAGTAAAACGATATCTGTCGACAACTTGCCACCACATAGTCATTCTGGTACAACAAACTTTTCTGGCGACCATAGCCACTCATTAAGAGACCACCCATTATACAACTCAGAGTATGAAGCTGGCTATGACGTTTTATCTCCAGATTATAACCATTCAGCAAAAAAGACTTTTCGACAAACTGAACCAGGAGGAAACCACCAACATACTTTTACAACAACATCTACAGGACTAGGTAAAAAATACATGCCACCTTACATGACAGTTTGTGCATGGTATAGAATTGCTTAGTCGTCATTTTCAACTTCTTTAGCATATTCGTCAGGAGTTGTCTTATATTTGTTAGGAACTGTCTTTGAAAGTATACCACCTTGAACTTTGACAAGTTTGAAACGAGGTCTGACAATAGTAGTTTTATCTTCTGCTTGCAGTCTGTACATTTTGCCATGTTTGCCTAAAACTTCATAATATTCTCTTGTATACTTTCTTCTATTTTTACGAACACGAAGGTGAGTACCTGTCGAGTTCCCATTGTTGTCATAGTCAATAGTATTTTCATATGGGTCGCGTTTAGGTATTTCTATTTTTACTTTGTCACCTTTCTTAAGTTTGAAGCCTGGCATTCTTCTTGTTTGTCTCTTTTGACTAAACTATTAAATATATAGTCTTTCTCTAAGTCGGGGTTGTTTTTCATTTCTTCGGGGGAGTGGTTTCCCAAACCTTTTTGTTTACGGCTATTGTAAATATTTAAAACTTGTCTCATCTTTGCCTGGGAGAAGTGTCTATATTTGTCGTCATATGACATTTCATTTGCTTCACCACCTTGTGGTTGGTTTAAGTCTCTTAAGATTTTTATACAACTGTCAATGACACCAAGAGCAGAATGGTTTTGGTCGACAATGAAATATTGGTTTACATTTTTTGAACGCAGATAGTTTTTAATATCGTCTGATTTGAAAGAACTTTCACAGTCAGATGTCAGTTTTGTTGGATGGTATTTGTCAACGAATATTGTCAAAGCAGTTTTCACATCTAAAATATTTTTGGACTGCAATGGTATGGCTTCACAGTATCTTGTGTTTTGACCAACAAATATTAGCCAGTATGGTGGTCCATCTGTTCTAACTCTCGGAATGTTTTCCAAGATATCCATAAACCAAGCATTTGGTGTTGAACTAAAGATTTTTATCATGAGTGCTTTCTTTGTTGCCTTAGAAACATAGGGGTCCTTGTTTGGATTCGTCATTTTTATCCTATAAGAAATGGGTTTATTTGGCGCGTTAGCAGGAGTTGCATCTAGATTTTTACCCGCAGTGGGAACAATAGCCAGAGGTGCATTTGGAATTGGAAGGAAGATTTTGAGTACATTAGGTATACTTAAAGAGAAAGCACAACCTATTATACAAACTGTACAGAAAGGTTGGGAGGTAGCACGAGATGCAGCAAATCTTATTCCAAATCCTGAAACAAGAGGAAAAGTTCAAGGATGGATGGACAATGTAGGAAGACAAGCAGGAAACTATTATAACAAGCAAATGACTACTATAACCAAGCAGGACACTATATGGACCAAGGTGAAAGATTCTTTAACAGAGGATATAACCATGCACAACAGTGGGTAAACAATAACCAACCGCAACCACCTCAAACTTGGGGAATGTAAAATTTTTTACTGAGATGAAATGAACAATACAGCATTGAGACAAATGGGTTCAAGATGGATTTGTCGACTTCCAGCAGTTACACAACCACGTGTTTGTCAAGTTCTTCCTATACCTCAGGAAGTTTTAGACCGACTTAAAAAACCTAAACAACCAGTTGAAAACAAAACAAACTAAAATTTTTACTGAGATGAAATGACCGAAGAAGTTGAAACGGTAGATTTGACACCACAAACAAAAAGTTCAGAACCATTGTCAAAACCTGTCAAAGAACTTACAGATGAAGAGAAAAATTCAATAATAGAAAGTGCCAGGTCTGGAAATACAAACCCTAACTATAAAGTCACTTTTCATAGAAATGGAACGGCTAGTATCTCAAAAAAGAAACAGACTCTCACAAATAAAATATTGAAGTCTGAAGGAGCTTTCGAGACAACAGATGGAAAGGTATTCTTCACTGACCAACAGTTCATTATAGAACATCTCATTGACTTAGAGTCGAAATATTCTAAACTTTACAACAAACACAAAAAGTTGAAAGGAAAACAAAAACAAATGGCATATGATATTTACGAAGATACTAACGACACAACCATACCTGCAAGTGAGGTAAAGTCAGAGGAACCAAAAAGTGACGAAAAACCAATAGAAGAAGGTGAGCCAAAAACTGAAGATAAACCAAAACCAAAGGTTAGTTTCCAAACTAAACCAAGTCAACCTTCATTAGCTGGTATGGGTTGGCGTCAAAGACTTATGGCAGCAGGCGGTTATGTAAAGTAAAGAAAAAAAATATTTTTTTATTTTTATAAAAATGCCCCCATATAGAATGGATAGAAAATCTGCTAGAATAAAAGCAGAGTTAGAAAGATATGGTTGGAAAGTTTCGAAGAATTTTAAATATAGGAAGGGAAGACCCATAAAAGTCTATGACAAATTGTCTGGTCTTCGCTACGAAATGGAATTGGAAACAGCACGCGCAAATTATCCAAACAGACTAGAGAGGTTAGAAGAAGAACGTCTTATGAACTTGCCTTTCAATGTTAGTGAACCTCAAGTTGAAGGACACGACGGCTTTGCCAGATTCTACTGGAAACATGACGAACAATTGCATCCTTTGAGAAGGAAAAAAGGAAAAGGTGAAGACAAACATGCTCCCATGGAAAGAACAAGATATGCATATGAAAAGTACCGTGAAGTTAGAAGTCAAATTACATCTGGTCGAACCTTTACAGTAAACTTTGACGAAGGAAAGAACAAAGAAGGCTTCATGGGAGTACTTGCTGCCATACAAGACGGAAATAAGAAAGGATACAATCTCAGATTGACCATAACAGATTTGGACGGTCACATTTACTATGCACATGGCAATGTCACAACAGCCGCACAACTTCTTGACGCTTTCAAGACTACAAAGAGAGAACAAATGTTTGACTCCGACTCAGACATTTTGAATGCAATTGAAGGAATTGCAAGTGTAAAATTTGAATGGTATGAACCTAACCCTCAAGCAGTCAGACAACATGCTGGATACTTCCCGTTCATAAATAAGTCTGACATTGACTTGACAAGGTATGGAATTTACAATTCAATTGAAACAATTGTCAATGAACCTTGCATTCTTACATGTCTCAGGAACTCTGGTCTTGTTACAGATGAGAAGATGAAGTATCTTGAGTCATGTGTGAAGACAAGGTACATTCTCAGAGGTCAATTGGCAAAAATTGCACCGTTGGCAAATGTCAATATCCGAGTTAACATTCCGACTGAGAAAGGTTCTTCACACGACGACTATGTTGTTGACTTCAAATTACCATGGTTGAAGATTGTAATTGTCCACAACCACTTCATGTTGAACGAAAGTCTTATGTTCGGAAAAGGCAAGTGCAACATTGTCAGAGCTGTAAACATTCTTTTCGAGAAAGGTTTGTTGGAACCAATTCCAGATGACAAGCTGACAGAAACTTTTGTACCAAAAGACGAAACAAACTTTTCATTGTTAGCAAGACCAAAAGTTGTTCCAGACAAAGTTATAGCACAAAAGAAGTACACTGTTCCAAAAGGAGTTGGATTGTTCGGATACCAACCTGAACCAGAAGAACTTCCAATGAGGTTGCAAGAACTTCAAGATGCTATAAACAAACTTCCATTGAGACATCCAATTGACGTCAAATTGTATTGGAGAGCATCGGAGTTAGGTCAGAAGGTTTTATATGAAACAGGTTGCTTCGACGATGTTTATGAGATAGCAGGCGAAGTTTCTCAGAAGATAAGAGACTCACTTGAATTTCCACGAACTGGACCCATTGGTTGCGACAAGTTCGACTCAAACGAAAAGATATACTATGTCGACCTTAACGCTGCATACATGAGGTTCGTCCAATATATCCCGACTGGAATTCCAAACGAAGATGGTGAGTTCCCAGGAAGGAACTATACAGTTGGAAAAGTCATACAACAACTGTATGATATTAGGAAAGCTTCAAACCCCAAACTTGCAATGACACTCAAATTGCTTATGAATTCGACATGGGGATATTCCATTAAGAAACCTCAAGAGATGAAGAGTAAACATTATGAGAAGGTCGACAACTTTGTTGAAAGGTTCTCCCCTTTTGTTTTGAAGTACGAATTCACTCAAGGTCAAAGTGGCTTAGTAACCACATTAAAACCTATTGTCGAACATTGGTCTTACCCTCAGTTCGCAAAAGCAGTCCTTGACAACAACAAATTCTTCTCCGAAGTCAAATCGAAAGTTGTGGTTTACTATGAGAACATCGACGCACTCATGACGAACGAAGAAGGCTATAACAAACTCATTGAAATGGGAATGGTCGGTGAAAAGATGGGTCAATTCAAATTGGACAAAATTTTCACCGAAGTTCATGTCCTCTCCAAGCGTAAGTACTGGGGCATACTTGAAGACGGCACAGAAATAAAACATTGCATGAAATAAAAAATTTTTATTCGAATTTGAATCGGACAGGTCGAGTTACACCATTCTTGGTCTCAAACTCATATATAACCTGTTTGTCTGTATTTTCGTCGACTATGGCACGAGACACGAACATTGACCAAACGGACAAAAAGTGTCATTTCGGATGGTCCGCAGCCAATCGCATTCGAGCACTTCGAAGAAGCCTTACGTTCCAAGGGAGAGGGTGTCTGGTGCAAGGCAGAGGTCATGAGACTCTACGAGCAGTACATCCTCAATGCCTGGGAGGACAAATCGTCCTTGGAATGGCAATTCTACCAACTCCTCTGGGACGACCTCCTACGCAACTGGGATGACGAAAGAGTCCAATTCAGAGGTCAGGAACTACTTGTCCAAATTATCCTTAATTTAAGCCGCTTACGCAACTAAAAACTTAAATTTACTCGGGGTTTCCCCCTAAAATAAAATTTTTTTACTCTTAGAACCACTCGAGGT